TTTCATTTTAGCCCTAAAGACTCTTCTTAGTATTTCTTTTTTTCTCTCTCATTGAGTACATTGGTATATTCTAGGTATACAGTACAGTTACATTCATTATTGGGACCTTGTACCTTTGCACGACAGATCTTGGCTCTCATTTTTCCCCCTTGTCCCTGTCCGCCCTTCACCCCCTCCTCCCTTCCCTATTCACAAATACTTTATTTCCATTTTCTCATTTTTTTCTTTTCCCTTATTACCTTTCCCCTACCTTTCCCCACACCTTTATCTTTTTAGTATTTCTTACAGGGCATGTTTGGTACAGATAAAATCTCTCAGTTTTTAATCTGCAAATATGTTTCTTTCTCACTTGTGAAAGATGGCTTTGCTATTTAAAGGCTAGTAGTGGTTTTCCTTGAGGATTTTAATATGCCATCCCACCTGCCGGCTTCCAGTGCTTCTCCACCTGATAATCACATCATGGACATCCAATGAGTGGCTTCTCTTGCTTTTTAAAGATTTTCTCTTCATTTTTGACTTCCAAACAATTTGAATATGACTTAGATTTTACTGAGATTCTAGAATATATGAATAAATGTCCTTCACCAAGTTGAGATCATTTCTTTAAATTTGCCATCGTTTCTTCAAATATCTTTATGCCTCTTTTTTTCTCTCCTCTTTTTTGACTCTCATTATGTTTGTGGTGATAAACCCGATAGCGTGCTTGTTTTCCTCATTCTTTTTCCTTTCTATTTCTCAGACTGGATCATTGTAGTTGACCTATCTTAATGTTTGTTGATTCTGTTTTCTGCTTCTTCAACCCTGACAGTGATCACCCCTTAGTGAAATTTTTATTTTACTGATAACTCTTTACCTCCATAATTTGTTTTCTTCTTCTTTTTTAATGTTATACATCTTTATCACTGTTCTCTTATTTGATGAGACACACTACTCATACTTTTCCTTAGCTCTTTAAAGGTAGTTTCTTTAATAGAGCTGACTTAAAGTCTTTGCCAGTAATCTTCCTCAGGCATGCTTTCTGACTAATATATTTCTGTTCATAGGCCATTATTTCTTTACATGCCTCATGCTTTTTGGTAGAAAAGTGGACATTTAAAATAATGTGATGGGACAACCATGAAATTCAGACTCTCTCTCTCCTCCCTCCAATTTACTGCTACTTACTTAGTGAATTTCCTGAGTGAATCTTTTAAAGTCAGTAGTCAGTGTTGTGTGTGACCCCTTAATGGCTGGACAAAGATTTTCTTACATGCTTGGAATGAGTGAGTCCCCCTATCTTGAGGATAAACTTGGTACGACACTGTAGCACACTGTCAGCCCTGAATCCAGCTGCTGACAACTTCTCTTCACCCTTACTTGCTCCTTACACAAACCTTCAAGGTCAGCTCCAAGTGAGCACTGAGGACCCAGTCAGGTCTTTCCTCAGCAGAAGCATGTCTCTGGGCACGTGCATGGCCTCCAGATGCATGGGAACGTATTGGGGCTCCTCAAAACCCCTGTGGACATCTCATTTCTCAGCTTTGTTCAAGCTTTTTTGGTTAATCTGCTCCTCACTATTTTAGGCAGCCTCAGCTCCAAGTGAGCACTGAGGACCCAGTCAGGTCTTTCCTCAGCAGAAGCATGTCTCTGGGCATGTGCATGGCCTCCAGATGCATGGGAATGTATTGGGCTCCTCAAAACCCCTGTGGACATCTCATTTCTCAGCTTTGTTCAAGCTTTATGGTTAGTCTGCTCCTCACTATTTTAGGCAGCTACAAAGTTAAACATTTCCAGTAACTGTCTTGACAAATGCCCTTCAGCTCCAAAGAAAAGGTCTTTTGTACTGGGAAGCTCCAGACTAGGTCAAATAAAGACAATCTATGAGTGGGGTCTTCCAGGGAAATCCAGGCAGATCAGAGGGCTGTTCTCTGGTGATGCTTTGAGGATCTTCAGACCTATTCTGTCCCTCCAGTGACTCTAGGCTGTGTTGCTTGCTTGCTGTGTTAGTGGCTGATGGCATCCAAGGTCACCACAGAGCTGGGGGTGGGTGCAGCAAGATACAATTCCAGAAAGTTCTCTTTCACATCAAACTCAGCCCATATTTCTTAGATAAATGATTTCTAGATTGTTACAATCTTTTGTTAATTTTTAGAGTTGTTGAAAAGTGAATTTTTCATTTTAACCACTGTTCTATTGGGTTTTATGTAGGAATATCTGTGGAGTTTTTTATATCGTGATCACCACTGATATCACCCTTGCTCTTTTAACGGACAGATTCCACTCCACTGTGTGATCTTAATATCACTTACTCTTTTTTTTTTTTTGGTAATATATTTTCCTCCGATTTTTATTTTGAAAAATTCTAAACCTTTGGAGAAATTGTAAAAATAGTGTACTAAGTGCCACTTAGCCTCTACCTAGTTTCACCAAGTGTTCACATTTTGCCACACTTGCTCTCTATCTCTCTCTCTGAACCATCAGGGAGTTGGTTACATACCAACCTTTGAAGACATGTACCTGCTAAGAGCCGGGACACTCTCCTCTGCAACATTGTGAATTGTCATACTCATACTCAGGAGATTTTGCCTTGTCACTACCTTTCATCTAGATGCCATGTGCAGATCCCCCAAATAACAACTTGGACTGCAGGCACATGTCTCTAAAGAGCTGGTCCATGGAGCGGAAGCATGCTCAGCTCCACCTCTGGGAGAGGCTGGCCATACACTGGCACAGTTCTGAGGTGCTGCCTGAGGTGTTAGTTTGGGCCCAGGACTCTTTATCTGGGTGGGAGAGACGAAACATGTGGCCTATTTAATTTAAGCAGGTGAGATTTTCAAAATTTCAAAGACAATGCAGCTCAAATCTCAGAGGAGCAGCTGGGGATGTAGTTGAATGGTAGTGAGTTGGTCCAGCACGAGTGAGGTGTTTGGTTCAATTTCTAACATGGAGAAAAAAAGAAGGAAAAAAGAAAAGAAAAAAGAAAAATTTCTAGGCATGGGGCTTTTCTTCCACTTTTCTTCTAGAATGTCCTAATGAAATCATCCCGAGGGATCTGTCAGTCAGATCACCTCAAAGGGACCGACATGCTGATACACATTGTGGCAAGGCAGGTCCCGACAGCAATAACCAAACTGTAACCCTCATCCCATCACACACTGAGCAGAGCAGTACTTCACTTCTAGTACCTCGATCTGAGACACTACCCCTCCGAAAGAGGCCTGTGTCCTCAGTCCATGTCCTTGTGATTGGGTAAGATGAACTTATAGTACATTAAATGTCAACTCATACCAATTCATCCACATGTTCCACTCTTTTTTTTTTTAAATTTCCTATTACACAGCTACAACCCAATATCTACATGAGTCAGTGTTTCTTGAAGTATAGGCCATGCACCACGCACATCAGCACTGCACAAGGAGCCAGCTGGAGATGCTGGCTCCCAGGCTTCATTGCAGGCCTACTGGCTTTGAATTTCCAGGGGCTGGAGGCCAGAATGTGCCTTTTAAAAAGCACTCCAGCTTACTCCAAAGCATAGTTATATTTGAGGAGTGCTGTGCCAGGCTTTCAGCTGAGATACAATGAAGACTGGAAAAGTCTGTGGATTAACACACAAGTATTGAGAACTGATTTGCATTGTTGTCTATGGCAGTGGCTTGTAAACATTTTTACCACAACCCTTACAAAGGAATGTATTATACATTATAACACAGTGCCTGTACCTACGTGCGTGCACACACGCAAGCAAATGCACTGAAATTAATGTTTCATGAAATGTTACTTACCCTTACTACCCAAGATTCATCCTATATTTTTTATCCTATTCTATTTCACTTTTTAAAAACACTACACATGGTTTATTTCACAATCCTCTAATAAACCACAAACTGGAGTTTGCAAAAACATTGATCCATAAAAATCAGTTGCAACAGAAAGCAGCAGAGTCAGAGTAAGCCCAGAGAGAGAGAGTGTGTGTAAAATGCTGCAAACTTGTTACTAAATATGATCTTATTTTTAGATACTCTTAACATGCATGCATTTAGCTGTATTTAGAACAGTTTAATCACAATACCATTCTCCAAATGAAATAAATTTCATTTAGTCTGATCACAAATCTTATTATCTTCAAGTAACAATTATGGATTTTAGGGGACACATAGGAATGAAAATCTGATGGCTATGTGAGACTGCAAATCCTATTTTGAATCTCTAGTAAATATTAATAGAAAAACCTAATTATACCTATAAACTACATGAACCTATTCAGATTATTTCTTCCACTACTATTGATCACCATCAAAAGTTCACTTACATAGAAAGTACCCAACTGATTGGTTACTCAGGTAAGCCCTGCAAACCTCCAGGGCAAGACAAAAGGGAGCAGGATGGTCCCATTCTGCCTTCCTCACTGGTACAGGAAGCCATGGGAGTTATTTATTTTGGTAGAGAAAAAAATATATATACACTGCTTTTGAATACATTTATTTCCCCAAGTAAAAGATGAGTGAGATACAACTATACAACCAAGGATCTAAAAGGTCAGGTTAAGTAATTTCTGTTCAACTGAGTAGTTTTAATCCAAGATGCCATTTCAGTCAGCCCTTTTGGCTTCCCCTTCATATCTCTAAATACATAATGAATGAAAGGTGAAAGGCTGAGACCCTTTGCCATGTAGATGAGATGTCACCATAACAGTCATTTTTGACTTGTGAAGCTGTGGCCAAGACAGAGCTCACTGCACAGCTGTGCTCTCCCTGAGCCCTGCTCTCAGCGACCCGAGAGTCCCTGATCTGTGGTGCTGAGTGATCACCTCTGGTCACATGGGAGTGCACAGGAGCCCACACTCCCCTGTTTATCTCCACTGTCAAAGCCGTCACCCCTGCACAATGACCAGTGTCAGCTGGGTGGCCATGTTCCTACACTCGACCAGCCATTTATCTCCTAGTTTCCCTGGTGTTAAGGATTGAGTGTACTTCTGCACCTGGTTACTGTGACTCCTTGTTTCTACTCCAGGCCGTACTCACTTGGAAGTGTTTTCAAGTATTCCTTTGACTTCATTCATTTCTTCTTTCCCGAAGTAAACAACAGTGAGATGAATTCTCCCATCTTGTTGGATGCACATTTCCCTGGAAAACAAACCCCATATACATCAGTCTGCTTGGTTCCTGTTTTCACCTTAGTAGGCAAGGCAAAAAAAAGCAAAACAACACACAAAAAAAGTAAACCCTTTTTTGTGGGGAAGTGGTAAAAGGCAAAAAGGTTTGAAGTACTAAGTAAATTGCCAGGAAAGTAGAGATTGGGATCCAATCTGTTTCTGGTTGATCATTCCAATTTCGGGAACTTGTATTTACCTTATCAAGAAACACTGAAATTTAAATATTCAGATTTGACAAATGAAAACTCAGATACAAGACACCACAGGTCTCACCTGCCTCAGGCCTCACCACAGGCAGTCACATGGTATCAAGGAAAGAGCCCTGGATCCCCATCCCCAGAAGAAGCCTGTGAAGTTTAGGAGATGTAATTCCACAATCCAGATGAGAAGGCTGAAGTCCAACAAAGGGAAAGACTCCCGTGCTTGTCAGTGGCTCTCTTCCATGGTGTGGACCCAACACAGACAGTCTTAAGGACCGAATGAGACAAGGCAGTCTTTCTTTTGTTTAGAATTCTAGAAACTCATGCAAACATCCAGGAATAGGACTGCCAACAAAATGACAAGTCAAAAACACGGTTGCTGCATCTCACCCTCCCGAAACAAGGGCCACCACCGTCACTGCTGGCCCCGTTCTCCTCTAAGTGACTGATGAAGCCTAGCACCTGGCACCTGCTGATTCAGGGTCTTGGACAAAACAACACTTGGCTCAGCCCTCCCAGGGACAAGCACGTGGGGCTCAGTCTGGTACAGGAGCAGCTTTGAGAACACGAGTGAGGGTGGAGCAGTCAGAAAAAGGCCAGGGACTGAGAGCGAAAGCTGAAGTATGATGATGTGCTTCATAACCAAGGGCTCCTCCAAGACACCGTCCCAGCAGAATGAGTCTCTATCTACCATCAACAGGAAGATCTCTTGGGCACACCCCCAGGTATATAGTTTTACTGTCCTCTGCCAAGCCAGAAGGAAAACACACAGGGCTGGGCCCTGGGGGAAACTGCACTTTAAAACTGCGTGTGCTATTGGAACAAAAAGCCACCTTGCATCCGGAGAAGCTCACCTGCTGAACCTGGTTTAAAAAAAAAGCCACCTCATTTTTCCAGGAACATCTTTACTGTCTCCCTTGCTGGTATTTTAGCATCCAGTCACAACACTTCCTGATTGTAAGAAATAAAAAAGAATCCCAGCACTCTGGGAGGTTGAGGCAGGAGGACTGCAAGTTCAATCTAGCCTGGGAAACTTAGTGACTTAGCAAGACCCTGTCTCAAAATAAATGAAAAAATAAGTAAAAAAGGACTGGGGATGAAGTTCAGTATGAAGCCCCTAAGTTCAATTCCCAATACCACAGACAGACAGACAGACAGACACACACACACACACACACACACAAATACACATACACACAAACACACACACACACAGAAAAGGAAGAAAAGTCAGAAATCAGAGATGTTCTGGGCCTTTCGCTCTCATGATCAGGTGAGACAGTAGCTCAAAAAGGCAAAGTCCACCAGGTATTCATGTTATCATTACATTTATTCATTTAACATACATTTGTTGACAACATACCATGTATGTATGTGTCAGGTACTTTACCAGGGGATCTTAAAAAAGACGAGACAGATATGTTTGCCCTCAGTGAGTTCTATGTCTACCCTTTAAGACTAAGGCTATCCACAACTAAACGAGCAAATGCCTCATGAGAGTACAAGACTAGCAGTGTGTGGACACAGTCACAGGGTCTGAATGCTCTCTGTATTTCTAAAACCCATCCTCACTCAACCCTGTCCCCTGGGAGATCAGGTGTGAGAGAGCACGGATAGAGGTGACTGTGTACATGAATATGCCTTTGCTTTGGTGACAAAAAGTTAAAAAATAAAGTCCGAGGGATGAGACAAGAGGAAAATCATACGGCTATGTGCCATTGATTATTTGTACCTGACACTGATGTCTGGATCTCTGGAGGTGACTTCCGTGCCTCTATGAGCACAGAGATATTGTGGCACTGCTGTAAATGAAATCTCTGCAGACTGGTGCAACCACTATGGAAGTCGATATAGAGATACCTCAAAGAGCTGGGACTAGAGGTTCCATTTGACCCAGCCATCCCTCTGCTGGGTATCTTTCCAAAAGAATTAAAAGAATCATATCAGAATGATATATGCGCACCTATGTTTATAGTGGCACAGTTTGTAATAGCTAAAACTTGGAAACAGCCCATTTGCCCATCAGTTGGAAACTGGATAAAGAAGATGTGGTTTTTTTTAATAAAATGGAATACTACTCAGCCATAAAGAATGAGAAATTAGATTCATTCATAAGAAAATGGATACATAGTAAGGATATACTCCTAAGTGAAATAAATAAGTCACACATGTGTAAATACAGAATAGTTTCTCTGGTGTGAATAAACTATAATAGTACATAAGATCCTAATAAGATAATTGACAATGTGAAATAGGAAGAAAAGGGCTAAAGGTGTAGGGAAAGTGGGAAGGGTAGGGGAAAGGTAATAAGGGAAAGGAAAAAAATAGAAGAAAATGAAAAAATGGAAATAAAATTTTGTAAATGGGGAGGGGAGGAGGGGGTGAAGGGAGGGCAGGGACAAGGGGACAAAATGAGAACCAAGACCTGTCATGTAAAGATACAAGATCCCAATGATGAATGTAACCGTACTGTGTACCTAAAATGTACCAATAAACTCGATGAGGAAAAAAAAATCTCTGCAACCATCTGAGGGAGTCCGGCCTTCAATACCAAAGCCCTGGGTTCCATTCCCCATACTGCAAACAAAACAAACCCCCCCCCAAAAAATGAACAAAAGAGCAATTCTGGCCTTCTTTTGTTTTCTGGCTTTGTTTCTCATCATGTGATTTCTCTCTCTCCTACTTGCTCCCATTATGATGCCATTCACCCTCAGTCCTTACCAGAGTCCAACCAATGCTGGCCCCATGCCCTTGAATAAATCTCTAGTCTTCATATATACTCAGTCTCAGGAATTTTATTGTAGCGATGGAATTAAGACTGATACATGCAATTTCAATAATAAAAACAGAATGAGCACGAAGGCTATGCAATGTATTATTTTCTCTGGAGTACAAATTATAAGGGATCATCATGCATAGTCCCCTCTGGGGGAAAACCATCCAGGTTTGCCTGGGAATCTCAGGTTTTAATACTGAAGAATCCACACACTAGGAAATCCCTTCGCATCAGGCAGCCTGCGACAACTGGTCACCCTACTTAGCTCTGTAACTTTTTAGTTTTCAGAGGAATGAACAACTGAAGAGTTACAATTAATCTGGAATGAAATAACTTCAGTGACAGAGGGACAAAAAAACCCAAGAGGACATAAAGGAGAATGCGATTAATTCCTGATGAGTGATGGGGAAAGAGTGTCAGGAAGAAGGAGAGTCTTACCTGAGCCCTGACAGGCGAGTAGGCTTCACACAAGTTGGGAGAAGCAGAGAAAGGCTTTCACAGCTGAGAAATGGCGTAGCTGGCAAGAAAGTCGCGTCTCTGCTCATTCCAAGTCAATGTTTATTCAGATGTACCAAGTATGAGAAGAAAATCTATTTGGACCTTAAGGAGTGTCCCATGTAAATGAAATGATGCACATTACTAACCCCTTAGTTCTCAGACTGCCCATATTGCTATGATGTCAAGAAGAGAATTTCTTAGCCAGAAATAAGGAAACGGTATATCTGAATGCTCAGAGATTGGAAGCAAAGAATAGGTATATTCCTGGAGAGGGGACAAGCAGTTAGTGAGAACCTTCAGAATGTTTTATTCCTTCCTTTTATTTCATAGGTCCTCTCCTCTTCCACCATGTCATGATCAATAAAACATCATTTTCCAACCATTATCTATGTTATCAAATCCAATCAGTGTTAAAAACTGAGGTGAATTCTAACTCTCAGCCAACCTAATGGGACCTACTTTCTGGCTTGCCCATTTCAGAATGAAAACAAGATCATTTTCCAAGTAGCCAAGTTGTCTTAGATTCATGTTTCTATGCAACCTATGACTTAAATGAAATCAACATCTATTTCTATCTGCACTTGGTCTTAGTCAAAAGACCAAGAAGCAATCAACATCCATTTCTACTAAGCTCTCAAAGAGAAATATTTATCCAAGTAAGATAAATGACACAGGTTAATGTGTCTCAAATGTATTAATCATAACACTTTCTTGGGCAACACTCGTGTATGGTGGAAAGGTAGTGGGGCAGGTGGGAGGATTATACCGTGCAGAATAGAATACTACTATATTTCTTATGGAATTCAGGAATTCATTGCTATCACAACCCAACATTTGATATTCTGAGGGCTTTCAGTCACCTATACTAGCCTAGCCAAAAGAGATTCTATAATCACAGCCTCATATTTACTTCCAGAAACTTCTAGAACCATCTTACAGGTTTTACGACAAAAAGAGAGAGAACTGCTAAAGAATAAACATATAAAAGTTTCTCTGATGCTGCATTAAAGTAAATAAATGCCTTAAAAGGGATGGGAGAAGGGACAGAAAGAATAAAAAACAAAGGAGTACATTAAACCAAATGTAACCCACCCAGACTGAGGAGAAACCCAGCAACATAAAATGCTTTTCAGTCCAGCTGGAAGTAGTCACAATAAAAAGCAAGCAAATTTGGGATGAATAGAGAAAAGTTTAAAGAAATCATGAGAAATATTTTCCACAATTTTTTTCCTGAGAGATCAGAGATAAAGACTCAAAGAAAATCTATAGCTTTGCTATTATGAGTTTCTTCCTCATTAAAAAGAAAAACTCACAGTGAAATAACTGATGAGCTTTTATCTATTCCTGGCCACAGGCATGGGAGCCCTGTGATCCCAAGGGAGGGAGGTGGGACATTTTTGGGACAGGGAATAACAGAAGGAGCCTGTGAGGTTGCCATGTGGGCCACTATGACACAGCATAAGTGAAGAAGTTTGCTAAAGTGATAGGCCACTGCCC